AGTTTTAGAAATAAGATCGATTTGTTTAAAAAGGACCCTTTTATGCCAGGCGACTTTCAGTTTGATGCACAGTTTATGTTTCCCAATGCTGACAAATCCAATATGGGCTACTGCATGGACAATGCAAACTATGGTCTGCCTTTTAGTTCATCCACGTTTTTGAATAATAATATCAGCACAAAGGGTTATGCAAACACAAAATTAGAAAATCAAGTGACTGGAAAATCCAACAAAACATTCACATCACCTCCTTCTTCTTCGTCATCATCATTCCTGACGTACAACAGAACATCTACAAACACGTTAGCAAGCCCTCCTCTCCATCATCATCCTCTACTTTTTGATCAGAAGACTCCTAGCTTTGATCTTCCATTCAATTCTTCTAATTTAAATTCTTTTATGGAAAATTGTGGCATGATGGATCAGACAATTGTGCCATCAATCAATGGTACGTTCCCACATAACAGCATGAAAGATTACAATATGATGAAGGATGCATTGTATGACGAAAAAAAAACAATTTCTAGATCAGCCAATGCTCACAAATCTTATAACGTTTCTTTAACAAACAATGCCAAACAAACATCGTCTCTGACTACTTCTTTGCCAAATGTGATGGTCATTTCATCTTCTACGCCAGCCAATCAGACTAAAACAACTACAAAGACATCGAAAAATTCTAAAAAGACAGCGATGACCGGTCAATCAAAGTCGAATGTGGATAACAACAGTAATAACAATAATAATAACAACGCCTGCATGTTTAATCAGCACATTACTCCAATAAAAGCAAATTGCAACAGTGATGTGCTCTCAAACATTACCTCAAACTTCAACAGCGGTTTGTTCTGTAAAACGACAACTACCACACATTCTGACAAATACCATAACCAGTACTCGTCAACTGTGGCAGTCAGTACGGCTATGAATAACACCATGCATAATAATACCAATTTACGAACTTGCTCAAACATAGGAATGGATTACGTCTCCTCGCAAATACTGGGACCGTCCACAGCTCACCATCACCCACATTTTGGATTCAATCACCTCTTCCCTGAGATGGACTTGCCAAACGGCTATTTGAAGTTCACCAATCCGAACATGGCAGATGTTGAAACAATGCCACTCCACCACCATCACAATCATAAAAATTTACACCAATCTCCTGGAAGCAATCAGACCATGTTATCTGATTTCAATCCATTCTTTCATCCTTCTCAATATGCATTCGACGGATCTTCTTCGTATCTCAACCAATCGAATTGTTCTACAGGTCCGTTTTCCATGAGTACATTCAACATTAGGATGCCTCGCATGCACCACCAGAATAACAATTCATTCTAACTTTATCTAGGTCAACGAAATCTGCCTCTCGACATTTGGTGGAAAGTTGCGATTAATATTTTAAGGTTAAACTAAATTAAAATTAGTCTCTTTGCAGTATGAAGCATTCCTGTACATCATACATCCTTGTTATTTATATATAGATATCATTATTTAATTGTGAAAACTTGTATAGTATCAGTCAGTTATTAAACTGCTAGTAAACTTTGTTAGACATTGTTCTTTTAATAACTGCTTATTAAAATGTACGTGTATATATTTTCTAGTTTCGTACCTGCGTTAATTGCATGTGAGTGTAAATTTGTTTTTGCTTCTTTGTAGTTCACCACTAATAGTTCTTGTATATGTACGGTTTTTATCACATTACTCTATGTATTAGTGACAGATGTGAAAAAATTTACTTCATTCAATTAATATTTTATTGAATTCTTAATCATCGTACGTATTTGTATTTATACTTGTTTAATTGCCGATGTAAATATTCAAGCTTTTTATTGTTTGCATTGTGCATCCAACCATCATTTTAGTACTTATATATAACAATTTGTAGTTTATTTAAATAATTTGATTTTGTTGTTTAGGTTTACAATATTTTGTTTTCTATTGTTTTGTTAGTTGTTCTTGAACAGTTATTACGAAACTATGTTTAACTTATCATGCTCTCGTTATTTTCTGATATAATGTGTAAATACAACGTCAAAGCAGTCAATCTATCGTTTTCTTATTAAATTCGTTTTATTGTTATTTGTATTATTTTTCAATAGATTCCCCTTTTCCGGTCTACTTGCTAAATTAATTGAAAACGCAATAATCTCAGCATCTGAAATGCACTCACGTTTACCAAATCAGGTTGATCATTGAACGTTGCATTATAATTAAAACACGCCTAGAAATTGTCACCCACAAGCAAAACATTAAGGTGAACTCAATACTTGAGCTATGCGCGTTTAACGTGAATCAAGGCTGTTAGCCGAACTAAAAATATCAGCAATCAATTCTATTGCCCTCACCCCGTCTAGAACTGGCTTTATATATATATATATATATATATATATATATATATATATATATATATATATATATTGTTTTGATGATCTAGTCTGTGGATTCAGGTCATGTCTTTCAGAAATTAATGAGTGGATGATGATAAATGGGCTTAAATTTAATCAATCAAAAACTCAGTTTCTACTGATTGGCACTAGGCAGCAAATAGAATAAATGAACGTTGAGTCTATCAGACTTGGTGATTCTGAAATTGAATTTTGTAGAACTGCACGCAACCTTGGATTTGTTTTTTAATTTCTCCGTAGTGGTTCCCGCTGTCTGGAATGGTTTGCTTAGGGATCTTCGCGATCCTGAATTGTCTGTCTTTTGACGTTCACACTAGGGTAGTTTCGAAAAAATGTTCTGGACAATTGCGTAAACAAACATACCACTCGATGTTTGTTCATTCCTTTATCCACTCAACAATAGAGTGCATATTTTTTTCAATTAATCATTAAAAAATTTTATAAATTGAGAAGAGTCCAAATCGGTAGTTTCGTTGAGCGAACCGTTTTTGACCTGTTTGCTACCTTCCACACTTTTTGGAGTTGCCACTATTGTCGTTAATGCATTTTTCCAATAATAATTTCGTTTTTTAAAAAAAACTTTAGTTTTTTCTTTTAAAACAGCAATTCATTCAGTTCGATAATCATGTGATAAACATTTTCTATATTCTCGTTCCATTTTATGACAGTGTCTTTCAGCTATTCTGTGACATTTTATGACAGTGTCTTTCAGCTATTCTGTGACATTTTATGACAGTGTCTTTCAGCTATTCTGCAGTTCTCGTCAAACCACGGAGACATAACATCACATCTGACCTTAATGAAGTGAAGAAGCGCAACTTCTTTAATTCAAGGCAAAAATTTTTAAATTTAAGGTCTATGTTGTTACTTTGACATGGTTTTGATAACGGTGAGTTTTTAATATGGGAAAACAAATAATTTTGAGTGACGTTTTTCCACGATATAACTAGCCTACGAGTTACTATAAGACGTTGGTGCTATAACGGTATGTCAACTTGTATTAAACTGTGGTCACAATGGACACCTTTTGGAAAAAGTTTAATGTTCGACACAGAAAAATCCTGAGTACAAACAACCAAATCGAGCGTACCACCATGTATATGAGTTGGCATGCTTATATGATTTTTCACATAAAACATCTCCAGGATTTCAAGTAAGCTAATGGTATGACGATCGTCAGATTTATCCAAATGCACGTTGAAATTTTCAACCATTACAGCATTTAAACTTATAACAGTAATTTTTTCCAATAAAAACAAAATTTGTTCAAAAAACAAAGTATTGACTTGCATTGAGCCTGGTCTGTGAAAAGCCAATAAAATAAAATCTTCATAACTTATAACTAATTTTAGAGCAATGGTTCTAACGTACTAAATAAAGGCATGTCAATTTTCTTGTATTTAAATTGAGCTTTACAATAAACAATTATTCCACCATGGAACGGATCATGCAATCTTAGAAACTCTTCATAGCGAAATCCAGGTGGCATTAAAAACATAACAGAAATATTATACGACGATTCGTGCCACGTTTCCACTAAAACAAAAATATTCAATCCCTTTTGAATTAGTTCATGATATATATATATATATATAGCTCAAGTATAACAGTAAAAGCAGTCGCCCCAATCTCCTCCATAATCATTAACGGTACGGTGGTAAACAGGAGAAACAAGTCAATAGTCTCAATTATCTCGAAAGTCTGATTACTTCAGGTTGTAAATGTGATAAGGATATCAAACGAAGTATAGCTATGGCGAAAGATGCATATTCTAAAATGAAAAACATCCTCATCAACAGTAAAATCAGAATATCAACAAAATTAAAACTGATAGATTAGGGTGTTACATTTTTCCTGTTCTAACTTACGGCTCTGAGTCCTGGACAATTTCTAAAGAAATGGAAAAAAGCTTAACGCTGTTGAGATGTAGTTTTTGTGAAGAGTTATGAAAATTAGTCGGACCTCTCATACTTCGAATGAGGATGTATTAAAACAGTCCGGTTATGAAGAGGAAATTACTACAAATAATCCGACGGAGGCAGTTGAAGCTTTTTAATCACATCATGCGGAAGAAAAGAATGGAAAATCTAACTACAAGGATTGCATGGAAAAGAGATCGCGGTCAACAACAAATAACATTCGTGAAGTCCTTGAGTCATTTGTTTAATATGACCACATTTCAACTACTACAGTGTTAAAGATCGGGTTTTGTGGAGGTCGATGGTCGACAATGTCCTGAAAGGATAAGGCACGAGAAAGAAGATATATACATATTTATGTCTCTACAATGTTAATTATGTTTAAAGTGAATTATTTCTGTTAATTTAATTGATTTCTTTGTAGGTTGTACCTCTTTAAAGTTATTTTGCGATCGATTAGTAAATTTTACGATAACTTTATGCGAATAACCTTATACGCGTGAATGACATAAACTCCTCTACGATTCTTATATTTTTCAACTCGTTTTTTTTCGTTTGACTTAGCTAGTAGTTGTGTCAAGGTACGTTCCGTAGCGCTGATTTAATGCACCCCATTTTTCGGATGCGATGAAGCCATCAAACTGTGCTTAGCGATAGAAGAAGTCATTTAGAACTATTTATTTGTAATAAAAAAAATGTTAGGATACACGACAAAGCAATTTTTCCAGCTTACAACGTTAACTGGTTAAAATGATAAAATTATGATTAGGTAAGACAAAAATAAGTTTTGATAATGACAATATGAAGTTGCCGATGAAGTTTACGTTATATAAAACGACATTGGTAAAATTTGTGATTAGTTTCGTTCAGCAACGTTCACGCATCGTCAAAACAATTCTTGCTTTAAAGTTTAAACATCTAATAAAAACTTACGAAATCTAAAATTAACGCGTCACCATCAGCTAACGCTTAAGCAAATGTTACAAAAAATGCAAACAAAGATGACGAATCTATTACAAGAGATACTTAGGTCATTACAAGAGATACTTAGGTTCTCGAAAGTAGGAACTCGGCAGTGGAGTGCAGTGTGTTGAATCGAAGTCACTTATGTACTTGCGCACCTATGATGGTTTATTTATTCAAACTATATGTTTATTGTCAGGTGAATATTTTGATTATTAACTATACAGCAATCAATAAGATGAAAAACTAAAACATTTTAAATTGACTGTTACATGGGCATTAATTAATATTCTAGATTCTGTTTGCGTTCGCAACATTTTAAGAGTATATCGACTCCAAGGTTGTCAAAAGCCGATTAACACCTAATCAAATGCCTTTCCAGGAACATTACATAAAAGCACGATGAAAAAAATATGAATGAATATGGATGGAGAATCTGCAATTTTGTTGCCAATTAAAAAAAATTCAAAGAGAAAATCTTACAAGAAATATGACAAGTTTCTCTTTTTCAACTGATGTCAGTTCTTCACCTGTTTGAAAATAAATTTTAAAATTATATGTCAAGGTACATGGTTGTGACTACAAGACATCTACTAAATTTACGTAATATCATCTCTTCAACAAATTCAAAGTGTTAAAGTTCAAAAAAGACACCAAAAGCGTTATTATCCGAATCTCTTGTTTTTTGCCTACATTTTGTTTTTGTAATGTTTTGTTTACATCCAGTGTGCTTTCTGGAAAATTTCATTATTTCTTTTTTAACTTTTTAGAGTTTTCGCTTTTATTTGAAATTTGTTAAATTTGTAAAAATGAATTTGAAATGTATTATTCAGTTATTTGCGTTTAGTTTTTCGATTTAGTTCACGAATTAATAATGTTTATTTTTTGGCATAAATAGGGTAATTTAAATTTGGTAACTCTCGCCGACTTACCAGATTGTGTTGTAAACATAGCCCAACAATATGTAGACATGGCTCCAAGAATTTAAATATGAATAGTCAGCAGAGAATGTTATTAGTAATGAGATAATAATTGTAATAAATGATGTTTTGTTCTTTTAAACTAATAATTTTGACATAATAAATTCTGAAACTTTGGTCAAAGATGATTTTTTTTACTTTGAAGTCAACAATCATAAAATCTAGAAAATGATCGGAAAGATCGGTCATTAGAGTAGCACATAACATTGCTAACAGTCCTCCTAAATTACTGTCATTCGTTATTTCGTATAGTAATGAGGTATTTCCGAATCCATGATTTACTTTGCAAATTATACAGACAATCTCAATATCAACTGCAAACTGTTGGTTTTCGTTTAGCAAACTAAGACATTTTAATATATCTAAGAGCTTAAAGAGACAGGGTCATTTGCTAAGTCCCGAGAAGGAACTAGTGGAAACAATTTAGACTTTCAACTTAGTACGTGCAAAATCACAAAAACAAGTTGAATGTCATCGGCGAACGTGTGATACTTGAAGACATATTTTGCTATAACCTCAAAAACACGCCAGAACTGACCTAAGCGATCCCTGAAAGAGCATTGTTTAAGAACATCTACAGCGTGCAATCCAGCAAATAAGATTCAATCCAGACAAATATCGTTTCAGATAACCCAAACAGCGAACGAAGTTTCTTTTAAAAACAATATGAGGTCAGCGCGGTTAAACGCTGCATTTATGTCGAGCTAAACGAGAAAAAAGTGTTGATTGTCAATTGAGGAGAACAAAAGAGAACAAAATTAAGGAGTGCAGATTCCGTAGAACGACAATACGTTATAGGTTATACGTTACAGCACAAAAAACGCTGTTCTCCCCACAGTCGGAATCGGTCGGAGTTGGAGATTTTTGCCGGAGTTGGAATTTTGTAAAGGACCAAAGTAGGAGTCGCATTTTTTGAAGGGCCGGCGTCGGAGTCGAGTATTTTTCATCCGATTTCCCGAACTACCAGACGGAAAACGCTATTTTTAAAAAATTTCTTTTTTTAAGAATTTTTTTTTAAGAACGTGTTTTTTGGAAGTTAAATATGTGTAGCGATATGCAATACTCGTTAATACTGAAAATAAATGCCAATAATGTGAATAAAATCACTTAATTTATTTCAGTATGTTTTAAGGCTGTACTGAAATTCGGCTTCGGCCGAAATTCGACCATTTTTCCAAATTCGGCTTCGGCTCCGGCCAAATTTTGGCCGGATTTCCGAATTTTGCATGAATTTTGCAAATATGCCTGATGAAGTTTGTAACCAGTTGAATATAATGCTGGAGACTGACAATGCAGAAAACTTGTCCTTCACTACTGATACATGGACAGCAGATAATAATGTGCAATCTTACATGGGTTTGACTGTCCATTGGATCACAGAAGAATTTGAAAATGGAAGCTATGTGTTAGATTGCAAACCATTTGATGGACATCACACAGCAAAGGTCTGCTAGCGGCTTTCAAGCAAATATTGGAAAAGTGGTCAATTGAGGTCAGTCGAATTCATGTTGTACTTCGTGACAATGCTGCAAATATATCTAAATGTTTCCGTGATGCCAATATTTCAAGTGTTGGTTGCTTTGCACACACTCTCCAGCTAAGCATTCATGATGGTCTTTTCAACCAAAAAGAAGTTTCAGAAATTTTAAACATTTCAAAAAACTTGTTGGACATTTCAAACACTCCTCTGCTACTGGTCGTTTAAAAGAAATACAGGTACTTGTAATATGTATATTTTTTTTATTTATTTTTAATTTAAATTTTTTTTAAATTTCTTGTCATAATTTATTTTAATTATTATTGTTTGATTTTTAAAAAGAGAATTCGTTGCTTATATTTTCTTTCACAGAATGAACTTGGTTTACCAAACCACCAGCTGATACAGGATGTCAGAACAAGATGGAACTCGACATTCTACATGCTACAGCGTCTGTGCGAACAAAGACGTGCACTGATCTTGTACTGCTCGGAAGTGGAAGGTACTTCTTGTTTGACTGTACACCAGTGGAACATTGCAGAGAATATTGCATCAGTTTTGGGTCCTTTTGAAGATGTAACACGTGAGATTAGCTCTGGAGAATCTCGAATATCATTGGTTTCACCTCTTGTCACTGTGTTGCGTAATTTGTTAAAAAAAGATGGCAATGACATAGAAGTCAAGGCACTTAAGGAGTCGTTGTTGAATTCTTTAAATGAACGATTTGGAAGTTTGGAACATGATCATCTGTACATAGTAGCAACGTTGATTGATCCTCGTTTCAAAAACAAATTTTTCAATACAAATGTCTTCTCAGCAGCGAAATTTGGTTTCGTGCTGGCAAATGGCAAAATAAAAAACAATGTTCAACAAGACCAAATTTTAGCTAATATAGAAGCAGATGCAAAAGAAAAATCAACTGTAGCTAAACGAATAAGATTAAAAAAGGATCATACTTCTGCGCTGTGGGACTGTATAGAAGAAATTGTGCAATCTTCTGAAGCAAATATACAACAACAAGTAGCTGAAACAATTGAGAGTGAGCTTGACAAATATTTGTTGGAACCTCTATTACCAAGAAGGTCCTGATTATGACATTAAACTGACCCTCACTGCCTTGTGAGTGATGTTGGATCATCAAAGGCTAGGCCCACCGCTTATAACTGTGGTTGCGTAAGGAAGGGCGTCCTGCGTAAAAACTAGCCAAAAAATAATACTTATGATGACGGAAATAACAATGGCCCTCAGTATCCGGCAGAAGAGGGTGCGAAGAATCTCCGGAGACCCAGTCCATGGGGTTGTGGTGCAAGGCCCTGTGGATGGTCTGGCCACTGGCACCCCACTCTATAGTGTGGCGGTGCAAGGCACTATAGATGGAAGGACTACTTGTAGACCAAGGGGTTGGAGGTTTGGTACCTGGAATGTAGGCACGTTGACAGGAAGAAGTTTGGAAGTGGTGGAGGAGCTGCAGAGGAGAATGGTTGACGTGGCTGCATTACAGGAGATCAGATGGAAGGGTGAGGGTACAAGGTTTGTGGGGGCTAAAGGTGGAAGATATAAGTTGTGGTGGAAGGGGGATGATGGTACGGGAGGAGTTGGTGTGATGGTAAGAGAAAAGTTGGTGGAGGTGTTGGAAGTGAAGCCGAGAAGCAATGGTGTAATTGTGGTGGTGAAGGTGTTTGGAAAAGTAATAGTGAGGGTGATATCAGGATATGCTCCGCAACAAAGTAGGAAGAAAGAGGAGAAGGATAGGTTTTATGATGATGTTTCTGACGAGATTGGGCAAGCGGGGTTGGATGAGTTTGTGGTGTTGTTGGGTGATTTGAATGGTCATGTGGGGGCGGATGCAGACGGATATGAAGGTGTACATGGGGGATGGGGATATGGTATACGGAATGAGGAAGGGCGTAGAGTGTTGGAGTTGGCGGATGCACATAGCATGGTGGTGGGAAATACCTGGTTTACAAGGGAACCAGCGCGATTGATTACATATAGGTCAGGGAAGCATAGGTCGATGATAGACTATATATTGGTAAGAGCCAAACATAGGAAGTATGTAAAGAATGTGAAGGCGATACCTGGTATGCTGCAGCATAGTATGGTTGTGGTGGATGTGACATCAAAAGAAATGGGAAAGAGGAAGAAGGATAAGTTTGTGGCAAAGAGAAAGACATGGAAGTTCCAGGATGCAGAGGTGAGGAAGGCATTTGAAGTGAAGGTGGCTGAAAATTGGGAGAGTGGTAAGGATGGAGATGTTTGGGAGAGATACAGGGACTGTGTGTTGGCTACGGCAGGTAAAGTATGTGGGTGGAGGAAAGGAAAGTGTAGGCATGGTGAGACGTGGTGGTGGGATGAAGATATAAGAAGGGTTTTGGAGGTCAAAAAGGAGAGGTTTAGGATATGGAGAAGGGACATGACGGAGGAAGCGGAGTTTGAGTATAAGAAGGCTAAAAAGGTTGCAAAACAGGCAGTGGCAACTGCAATGACGAAAGCATCAGATAGGTTAATGAAGGAAATGGAATTTGATGTGAGTTCGAGGAAAATGTTCAAAGTAGCAAAGCAGTCAATGAGGGATAGGAAAGATGTTATAGGGAATGGATGTGTTTGAGATGGATCTGGCAAGTTGTGCATAGATGAGGAGGAAAAAGCTCAGGTGTGGAAAGCTCATATGGAAAGGTTGATGAATGAAGAGAATGAGTGGGATGGAGATGTGGAATCCGCGGTCACACACGGACCTATAGAGAAGGTGACGATGGAGGAAGTAGAGAAAGCAGTTAGAGAAATGAAACTAGGTAAGGCGACAGGGGTTTCGGAAGTGGCGGCAGAACATATTAAAGCGAGTGGGGTGATAGGAATTGAAGTTATGAGAATTGCTAACAGTATGTTTGATGATGAAGGTATACCTGAGGATTGGCGACACTGTGTGTTGGTGCCGTTGTATAAGGGCAAAGGAGATGTGAGAGATTGTGGGTCATATAGGGGTGTGAAATTGCTAGAGCACGGAATGAAGGTAGTGGAGAGGGTGCTTGAGAGGAGGTTGAGAAATATGGTGACAGTTAATGAAATGCAGTGTGGGTTTATGCCTGGTAGGGCAACGGTGGATGCGTTGTTCATGGTGAGAATGTGGCAGGAAAATTATAGAAAGAAGAAACGAAGATTGTACTTGTGCTTTGTGGATCTAGAAAAGGCTTTTGATCGATTACTGAGGAAGGTCATTGAATGGGCGTTGAGGAAGAAAGGAGTGAATGAGAGACTTGTTAAAGCTGTGATGCAGCTGTATGAAGGGGCAAAGACAAAGGTGAGGGTTGGAAGGGGGATGTCGGACGCTTTTAGTGTTAAGGTAGGAGTGCATCAAGGATCAGTGTTATCACCGTTTCTGTTTGCAATTGTGATGGATTTTGTGTGTGGAAACATAATGGAGGGGTTGTTATTTGAGATTTTGTATGCAGATGATTTAGTCTTGATGGCTGATAGCATGGAAGAATTGCAGTTAAAATTTGACAGATGGAAAAGTGATATTGAAAAGAAAGGGTTAAAAGTTAATATTGGTAAGACGAAGGTAATGGTGAGTGGGGAAGGTGGGGAACGAGTGATAAGTAAAATAGACCCCTGTGGAGTATGTGACAGGAGAGTGAAGGCTAACTCGGTATTGTGTATAGGATGTCAGAAATGGGTGCATAAGAGATGTAGTGGTGTGAGGGGGGCACTGAAAAAGGTGGAAGGCACGTTCAAATGTAAGAAATGTGTTCATGGTGTGATTAATAGGACGGACGCAAGGACGGGGTTGAGTGGTGGTATTGAAAGAGTGAAAAGCTTTGTTTACTTAGGGGATAAGCTGAACGCGGATGGAGGATGTTTGAGCGCAGTTACGGCTAGAGTTCGTATAGGATGGATGAAATTTAGGGAGCTGGGTGGGGTATTGTGTGGAAAGAAATGGTCAGTGAAGATGAAAGGGAGGGTATATAAAGCATGTGTGAGAGCAGCGATGGTATATGGTGGTGAAACTTGGGTGTTGAGGAGAGAGGAGGAAAGTGTACTGCAGAGGGCTGAAAGAGCTATGGTGAGGATGATGTGTGGGGTTAAAGTGAAGGATAGGAGGTGTAGTACAGAGCTGATGTCAATGATGGGACTGAATGAGGACATTGTGACATTGATAAGGAGATCGAGATTGCGGTGGTATGGACATGTGTTGAGAAGGGATGAAAGGGTCGGGATTAGGCGAGCGTTGAAGTTCGAGATTGAAGGAGTGGTAGGAAGGGGTCGTCCGCGATTGGATGGAGAGAGCAGGTGGAGAAGGACAGGGTGAAAGCGGGGTTGCGTGATACTGAGACGAGTGACAGATGTGGATGGCGTCGAGGGGTATTTCGGTTTCATCATAGGTAGCCAAACGGCAACCCCCGATCTCGGGGAAAATGTCGTCTAAACGTGTGTTGTTGTTGTTGTCTATTACCAAGAACTGAAAATCCTTTGCTTTGGTGGAAAATGAATCATAAAAGGTTTCCTAGCTTGGCTGCAGTTGCCCGAGTATACTTGAGTGCCCCGCCAACTAGTGTACCATCTGAGCGCCTTTTCAGTGTAGCAGGTGAAGTGATCAGTGATCATCGTAGTTCACTTCTTCCAGAAAATGCTTCTAAACTTATTTTTTTTAAATATAACAAGAATCTGATTAAAAATGATTAACAATTTATTTTAAAAATAATGGTTTCAGCTATTTGCATTTTTATGTTTTTATTAATTTTTCTGTTTAACAAATAACTCAAGAAATCTATACTGTGTTTATTTATAATAAATATCATGTTAATTCAAATGTCTGCTTAATTTTTTTTGTTTGTTTTTAAATTGGCAGCTACAATAAACTTGAAAATAACAGATTTGAATAGTTTATAATTCAATGTGATATTTGCTTCACATGCTAAGTTTTACAAGGTGATCGACTAAGTCAAAATGAAATATGAACGAGTCATTGCTAACTAATGTTCGAATTCGGCTCCGGCCGAATTTGAATGTCAAATTCGGATCCGGCTTCGGCCGAATTTGATATTTAAAATTCGGTATAGCTCTAGTATGTTGTTTTAAAACATAGAAAATGGTAATTTTACTAAGAACAATTACATTGACTGATTTTAAGTGTTTTTTAAAGTAATTTTTAGTTAGTAGTGATAAGGTGAAATTATGATGCAAAAGTTGAAAGTTTTTTCTGGGATTCGGAATCCGGAGTCGGGTTATTTTTCATTGCACTCCGACAAACACTCTGCCACTCGCCATAAGTTTTTACAGCAGTTACTGAAACTTTTAGTTAGATTATACCAGTAAAGATATTTAAAGTGGAATGACAATACGTTTTAGATTAATATAAAGAGCACTCTTTGCCACTTGCCACAACTTTTCAGAGCAGTTACTGATAAGATTATGCCAATAAAGATTTTTTTTCAAACTGTTGCACAAGCAAAAGATTGGTATGACATGCAAGATTTAGATACAATAAAAAGATCAAAAAAACTAATGCTAAATGCTTTATTAAGAGTACCAGATTGCTATAGATTTGAATAAGGTGCTTAGTTATTTAGACATTATTGTGTAAATCAAAGACTATCTATTGCACGGTTCGAGTGAATTGCTGGAGAAACAGGCATACCTAAAGCGCAACTGCCGTTTAAAAAAGTTCGCGGATCGTCCCATGAAACCATCAAACGATGAAGAACTACGACAATTAAACTTTTATGTTGAAAAATTATCTAGTATGACAGCACAAATAAAAACGAAAAAACCTATTGGCGATGGAAAAGCGATTGGTTCATCCTGTTTGAATGCCTCCAAACAAATTTCTTCAGATATGTCTAATGATTTCCAAATGACATCTGTCGGATTGTTGTTGCGATACTTTGCATCAGTGACAATGATATGAATAAGAATTTTTATTGAAATTATTCGTAAAAATCATACAAACTGACATGCACTCCGAGTTAAAATAAATATAATCACAAAATACATATCTGATAGAAAGTTTAAAAAATAGGAGATTGAATATAAATTTAGCTGACTAGAAAAATTGCCAACTCGCTTAACCGAGAGGACTTAAAAAATATTCTTTTTTACCAAATAAAAAATTCCATTCATGATTTTTGAAATGTCTCTTCTCTCACGGCAATGACTGAAAGGATATTTACTTTTCGCTTTTTAACTACTTGTTCAACTCATTTTCAGCGGCCTAGAAATCTTGATATTATGTTCACGTTAGAACTGCTGACGCACGCCAAAACTGTGGAACCCTTGTGAAATATTTTGGAGAAGGCAAAAGTATTGTGAGTTACGAAATAATTCCGTTTAAAAACGGATCTTCTGTTACTCATTTTCTCATTAACTTAATTATTTTTGTCAAACAAAATTGAAAAATTATCTACAAATGTAAACATTTAATTCTAGAGCAAAAATTTAACAATTTCAGTTTTTTCAGAATATTTGGCAGCTAAAACACAGGTTCGTTCCTCCCCCGATTTATTCAAAAAGTTCTTTCCTCTCCAAACTGTTTATATTATTTTACAATAACAAGCCTTCTATATTTTTACAACATCGTATAGTGTGCCAAATTTATTTAAAATTTTCAATGTCAAGTCAAGAGACACAAATAATACTTTGCTTTCCTAAAAATGTTTTTTACACATAAAGCTAACATATTTGTAATTAGTCATATTTTAAAATTTAAACAATGACGGACACTTTTTCAACTTCAAATGTTATCCCATTCAGATTATATTACATTATTCCCTCTACCAATTTTTGTCCGATTTAAAAAAAGTAATAATAATAAATAATAATAATAATAAATAATAATAATGAAAGTGATAGGAAGAAAATTTTATGTTAACACAAATGAATTAAAACATCAAAAAATGAAATAACAAAAACTGACAATCAACAACAACTTTAAATATAAATAACTGTTCACTTTGTTCATTTTTATCCGCTGAAAACCATCTTTCCAAGGAATCTTCTGTGTGTGTGTCTATTAAGTTTGGATATCTGAAAAATGTTCATATTCGCTACATGTTCATACTCGTTATAATATGTTCGTGTTTGTCATTGCATTTTCATGCTTCTCCCAACGCATCTTTAAAAGTATCTAATCACAGCAAAAATGAACAATCCGGCGAGCGTATTTAAAAAAACCATCAAAACCTGCTTTAAAGGAGGTTTCAACATCATGATTTGAAAATCTACTCTTAAACTGAGAGTATTTTGAATTATAATTAAATAAAACAATTTTGAGACTTAATAAAACCGAAAACAATAACAAAAAATTACTCCATAGCCAATTATTAGTATTCGTGTAAGGAGTTTGAAATAACCAATGGAGAAGTAATAAAATGAAATGAATGAACGTCACGAAAAAGCGGCAGAAAATGAATTCCGACCTGTAGCTCAAGATACGCTGCAAGAGGACATTCCCTCTGTTGCTGGCCAACATGTTGCTGTCCCTGACGTGTTAAACATCACAATATAATATTAGGATCATCAACCAAAGCAGAAACGCAGTCTCACAAAAAAGATCATTAATAATAAGACCGACAGATAAGGCCTGAGCATCAATCAAAGCTACAAAAAGATGAATGAGCTTGACAACGAAGTTGAAAATTTAAATAAAATAAAAACATGAAGATAAACTTACGAAATTGAGATCATCTCGTCTTTTGTTCTGCGAATGATTGCAAGTTTGCCTGGATAGCTGGAAAATTGTATCATTGTTCATGTTAAATAAACAAATTATTGGATTATTTAAAATATGCAACAACCACCAAACTTATTAACTGCATAACAATGATATCTATCTAAAAAAAACATGGCCGTTTTCCAATTCCACTTTCGCGTCACCTTTTATCATCTGACAGTCAGATTAAAACATTTTTTTTATTAGGCTATGTTCTTTGTTATCCTTTATAATACAACTCCGTCAAATGCAGAGCTGCTTAAATGTTATATGTTAGCTGTACTTATGTTTAGATTTTCGTGCAACAAAATTAAAAACATTTAATTTTATTAAATTTTTAACTTTTCATTAATAAATAAATTAGTACTTTTTTTAAAAATAAAAACTAAAAAGAAATGCCCATGAAGAATTAACTAATTATTATATGAAGGTGATGGTGATCATGAAGATGATGGTGAAAATGATTGATGTGGTGATATGAAGATGACGGTGATGATGATGATTGGTGTGGTGATATGAAGATGACGGTGATGATGATTGGTGAGGTGATATGATAAAGATGATGAATATGATAAGTAAAAAAAAACGCTAAATTTACTTGCACAGCAGCTCAGCATTGTTCAAATTGAGATGATTAGGAATGACCAAATTAATCAGGACGCCTGTGTGTGTGTGTTTGTGTGTTTGTGTGTGTGTGTGTGTGTGTGTTTGTGTGTGTGTGTGTGTGTGTGTGTGTGTGTGTGTGTGTGTAGATGGCAGTTTGATCATACTTCAAAAATCGAAATGAACATTTGAGATTAAATGCTGACATGCATCAACATCGATATCCACTAAAACATTGCATAAATCTAACTGAATAATACCACTATAAATATGAAAATGACAAGAGACATGATTACTCATTGAATACCGTTTCATTTTATGAAGCAGAGGTCACCGAATTGCATTTAAAATGTTAAAATCGGTAAATTACATAAAGTACAAATAATCAATCCTAAAAATATGTTATAAAAATTTTTTTGATATAAAATTGATGAAACTGCAATGAGAAATGCAAACAAACTCCAGCTTGGAGGCATGCGAGCCCTGGCGAGTGGCAGAATGTGGTCGAATGTGGCATCCAATATCTGGCGTTGATAAGTAATTAATTAATGATGAGTGATGATGAAAATTCTTCAAACGATGTGGAGTCACTTAGAAATGTTATCGCATGAGCTGACAAATATATTACTTTCATACTATGATATTATATTTCGACGTTATAAATAGACAGATGCCTTTACAAGTTTTGACACTAATTTGACATCGTGTGATGAAAAAAAACGAACCACACATTTGACATCAGGGTAATTCATGGCCGCCCACGAGGCAGTGTAGCCACCAATGGACCATGCGAAGAGGATTATGTCTGGTGGTTGGAAACCTAGCACATTTATTGAATATTGCATGACGGCATCTATCGCATTTTGTTCTTGATCTGGTAGAGGTAAGCCCTTTACGAAAAAAAGATTGATATAAATATATATATATATCCGTCAGCTGATCGTTGTCCTTTCGTGACCAATAAACAAACTGCGTGAATTGTACATTCTTAAACTTATTTTTACAGTAAATCATTCTTTGAAGCAGCCAACCGTGCTGCCAGAAAAGCCTGGGTGATTCCATCCCAGCACAGAGTAACCGGCATCAAGAGGGGTGCTCATGCATCCAATTTCGTAGAACCCTGCATTCCCTTCTGAGACAATCACCTGCAATTTGATTGCTTTCAATGAAGGAACTCGACTGCTCTATTAAATAAATATAAAATTGTTTAAAAATATCAACGTCACATATATGCCACGCAAAAACGTTGTACACCAAATGAAAACACGAGTCTTCAACTTTTCAAAAGTTGAATTATTTCCATTTTGAACACTCAAAGTTTTCCAAAAGTTAATAGCATGTTCAATGAAGCAGAACACCAAATGGTTTTTTCTACCAAAATTTGTGAAATTATTTTTGTGACTTAGCTCAATTTTAGTTGGAATATCTTAATAAGCAAGCAAATGGCGATGTGGCAAATAAAATTTTGCTACATCAATTTTCTGCAAATGATTGACAAATAGGAAAAAATTGTAAATATTAAAAATATAAAAAAATTTATTGCAAATCATTTTTACATGAAGAATAAATGCTATCATTTCCTAAATCAACTTGACTTTGTGTCATTTGTTTTTGTGACAAATGACAAAACCTTTTCTACATTTCTTATGCAATAATTTTTAACCTCAAAAATAGTTTAAAAAGTTATGAATCTGTAACTCTCTTTAAGAACATTCCAAATTCACACCTTTAAAAGTCAAACCAAGTTATCATGCTTCTGCTGGGACTGAAACAAACTTTATCCTTAAATGATTAGATACACTACCGAAGTTTGTGCCAATTATTCTAAAATTATTACTTTTTTAATCTTGATGATTCTCCGGCTTTTGATACTTTCAACAAAAATCTTTCAACATACAAAGACTGAGAAGAAAACCTTCCAACATTTTTAGTTTTTGTATTTTGCTAGCTTTTGAAACCTCTAACTCCAAATGATGTCATAGAAACTGCATATCAAAATTTTTAGCAGCTAATTCCTGTAAAAATACTCTCGGCCATTCCTCTTTATTTGTATAATTGCAACATTAAAAAATTATCTTTATTTTCATCAATTAATTATAAAGACGGTTTTATTAATTTCGTTGTTATTTTGTGATTTTCTTTTTATTAAATTCCTGACCATTTCATACACCCTTCAAATCATTCCAGCAATTTTTCATGTATCCCATTCCATGTTTATAGAAATTCTCTCAAGATGAAAGATTAATTTTTCATCATCTACTTTCACTGAGAAGCTGATTTTTTATAAGATCTGTCATCTTTTACTCACTCACTCGTTGAATATAACGCAAATAACGCTTTTTACATTTGAACAATAGAAAGCCAGCTAGCATAATTGCATCATATAAACATGCCAGAAATTCAACATTTGAAGCCATTATGATAAGAACTGCTTCAATTATTAGCAAATATTTGCTACGCTATTAAAAAATTCTGATTGAAATGTTAAAACAGAGAGAACTAATTTACAGAATGAAAAGATTCTGTCGTCACAAAACAAAAACCCATTTAAAAAAATCCCATACTAATGTGCTCCCTTTGTCAGAATGTGTGATTCGTCTGTCAACGAACATGCAGTCAACATCGTTAGCATCAGAAGATCTAATCTTTGTCCTACGACCTAGGTACTTCACCGCAAAGATGAAAAAATGATTAAAATTTCACTACAAATGAAATGACATTTATTTAAATGTTGGATAAAAGAAAACCTATTGACATAGCACTCCCTCTCTCTCTCATAAATATATATATATATATATGTGTGTGTGTGTGTGTGTGTGAGTGTGTGTGTGAAACTCAAACATAACGAGCGTTCAGCAAAAGTCTTCAGAGGAAGAGCTTCCGTCAACGAGTGTATGGGCCCTTTAACTTCCTGACACTCTCGAGAAACAGTGATCAGTTGGATGTCTCTTGCTGAACAAACAATTTGCCTCGCTTTTGAAATCGACTCCTTTTATATTAAAAAACTATGTAAGCGTGCCAGAAAGTTTACAAGTTATATCGACGAGCCAAGTAACACGTTAAGCCGGATCTGGGAGTGCTGAGTAATTGAAAGCTTTATGTGCGTACCAGTTACTTAAACTCGTTTTTTTCTTCCTACATAATCACATCCAGTAAGACGCTTGTTCGGCTGTATGTCTTATGTTCTTCATACAACTCGATCGTTTTTTACCCACCAAACCCAAACCCTTCAAAAAGCTGTAAACAGAACAACCCACAACACCTCTTGCATTAACCACTACTGCATACAACAAACACCTTAACCCACGTTGTTTTATCTTACTAACTAGCTCTTCATAATTGACTGTTTTTATAGCATGACTTGCTGCCATATTAGCCACAGTTCGACTAAAATAACAGTGTCTGCTGACAATGACTGTATTGCTACGTCAGGTCTCGCTCCCTCATCCTTTATAAACAATAGGTAGTTCCTCATGCCCTCCAAATCTGCTGACCTTCCAACCTGTCGCTAACAAAAAAACTTTTTCGGTTGCAAACTTCATTACTCATAGTTTGATCTAACTCAACCTCTCTTAGAAAATAGATTTTTCTTGGTTTACACTTCTGCTCTCATCAAAATATGTAATTACATTATTTGGTCTATTCGCCATATTCGACCTTTTCTCACAGTCGAAATGGCCTTCACGCTAGCACGCTGTCTTGTATTATTTCGCCTTGACTACTGCAACTCTCTGTTATATGGCACTCCGGCGTATCTAATTTCCTCTCTTCAGATCATTCAAAACAGATTAGCCAAATTTGTTTTAGAATTACCTCGTTTACCTTCTAGTTAAACATCTCTTGCTCATCTGAACTGGCTGTCGATTCATTAAAGCATTAAGTATAAAATTGCTGTCATCACATATAAAACACTCAACACATCTCAACCATCATATCTTCACAAACTCATTCACCTTCGCTGATTTGTTAATCATCGCCATCACCTTCGTCTGCCGTCATCATTGCAACTGCATCAACCAGTCAATACATCAGCTCTCGTCAATAAAGGCTTTTCACATTGCTCACCATCAATATTGAACAGTTTGCCACTCATCATCCGTCAACAATCATCAATAGAAACGTTTAAAAAGCGATTGAAGCAGCATCTGTTTGAACAGGCCTTTGGTGGCCGTGCTGACACTTGTTTATCCGGGCGCCTCTGACGCTATGCATGGGGCGCTCATGAATGATATTATTATTATTACCCGGTGGCCTTGAATTTGCCTCGTCACAAACATTGGAAATGAGTTCCACTAGTACTTTCAATACTTTGTTGTGCTTTTACGTATAATGTCCACGACTGAATGCGTACTTATAATAAGTTATTACGCAGGTCACAGTCTTCATTTCTACACAAAAGCTACACTTAACTTCTCCTTGCCACCTTCCATCTAGCAAGATTTGCTTCTGGTGATAGTTGATCATACATGGCTCTTATAATAAACGCTAGTCTTAATGCTTAATTATACAAATTTTCTATATAAACTGCAACAAGTGCTGAAGATGTTTGAAAAATGGAAATATATATATTCTCTGCCAGTAACCAGTTATTTGTCTGTATAAATCATTGGTAAGCACACAACTAGAGTTCAGTGAGCAGGTGTGGAGTCCGTACAGATTGTGTCCATAAAGGAAAACCCAAAAGGTTCAAAGAAGAGCAACAAAATTAATAAAGTTTTGCCAATGTCTTGAATAATGCGAAAATTTAAAAAATTAAATATACCATAACTTGCCTACCACAGAGTTAGAAATGATTCGATTTTGTGTACCAAATTCTTCAGGGTCTGATATATTCAGTGATTTGCCCATAATGTTTATAAATAATGTTGCTTTCCTCAGAGGACAAAATTTCAAACAAAGGGCATATGTCACACGAGTGGACTGTAAAAAGTATGCCAGGTGAAATGGAGAATGCATCAAGTGTAAAGGCCTTTAAAGCCATGTTGGATTTGTATTATGGAAATAAGATGTTTAACACATAAACCTAATTTTATTTGCTGGTTGTATGAATTTTGCAAATTTGCTATATGTTCATTAGTATTTAATTCAAATATTACAATCTAAAATTGATCTTAAATCTGATAAACTTTAATGCTAGCTCTTAATTTTTAATAACAATTTTTATGTTTACACGGACATCAAATTGTTCATTACTTTGTTTCATTTAATTTGTACGAGACTTTTTCTTTTTAAGTTTATTGTTGGCAAGGGTTTAGCCCATGCCATTTTTACTTAAATAAATATAGAATACAAAGCAACAAAATATTTGAAAACAAAATAGAAGTTAGCTAGCTGACTTTTTTAACCAGTTTTTCCCTTCCATCAGTCAACGCAGGGCCTGTAATTGCATGTTATTTTAACAATATTTCACATTGTTTAAAAAATTATTCAAGCAAATAATTAGAGAATAGAAACCCATTAGAGTCTGCAGAATTGAGCAGCATCCAGGGTACAAAAGTCGTATGCCGAATGTTCTGACACATACGTAGCTGAAAATTACATTTTTAACATCATTCTATGTATCATGTATAACTTTATTTTGTATTAAAAAATAATATAAGAAAATACAAAAATTAAAATAACTAAACCTCAAAGCATTAAGAATAAATGATGTTTTTGTTGTTTGTATCAAAGACGAATTAATATTATCTTTCCTGCAATGAATGTTATTCCATATTATTATTATGACAAATTTCTTATCTAATGAAATTATTAAATATCAAATAGTTAAAGATGGGCCAAACATGCTTATTGGGCAGAATTGTGCTCTAATAAACGCTATTCTAACTCCATATAAATTAATTGAATGTTACCTATATTTAGATGCTACATATTCAACCGGCCATTCCGAAAAACTACAATCATATTTTCTTAATTTTTCCTGAAGAATTAAAAAATATAATTAGTTTGCAATAATTAGAAAGTGACACAATCTAAAATATTTCACCTTGTTTTCAGTTGAAGGTGAAGTTTTGAATGTGAAGAATTCATTTAAAAATGTGCAATACTCATCATTGATGGCTCGCCCAAATGCTGTAAAAACATAGAATAACTTAAATTTTGAAACAATTATTACAAAGTACTGAACCTCTAATGATGTGAGCAAGTACTAGGAGAACTGTTATACTTGAGACATAGGAAAAAGTAGTTGGAAGATTTTCAAACATAAAGAAACCTGCAATTTTGACGTCATTTTAGACTTCTGAATGTAATACGTTAAATAAATAAACACAATAAAAAAATAAAAAAGAGCATCAGATCCCTTTGTCTTGTTTAAAAATTAAATCTACTCAACAGTTCAGTGTTAAAATAACAATCTTCTACAATAACCAATATTTGCTTTAATAAGAATAAACATTGTAATGTTATTAATACATAAAATTCACAGACACTTTGAGTTGAAAACACATAACACCATAACACATAACAAACATAAACGTTGCAAAACAAGTGTAAAATAAAAATTTTGTACCTTTTCTATATAATACAATGAAGACCACAGGAGATGACCAATAACATACATTGCCACAAAATCCCATCTAGTGGTTAAAAATAATTTCATTCTTCGTTTAAAAAGAGTAAATACATATCTTAATGAAACTTATCACAAAACTTAAAAAAAAAGCTGAAAAATTTATAACACAAACATTCTAAGCCGATTTTCACAAAAGCATATTTTCAGTGGCCTCAGTTAATACAAATATTGGCAAAGTTTTCCGAAACCATTTAAAACATTATTTCTTTGACAGGACAATGCCTCTGAAGATAACTCAATAGATGCACTTTACAAGTCTACAGTAAGCCTAGAACACATAAGAAGACATGCTGCACTATTTATTCATAAAACATCCAGTGACGGTCTAAAGATATGGTCTACGGTCTGAAGATATGGTCTACGGTCTGAAGATATGGTCTACGGTCTGTCATGAGACATTGTTTTTTGTCTCGTCTTGCATCCAAATCATAATGTGAATATCTTATTGTCGTTTTTGTAGTTCAAAATAAAATTATAATGTGACATTCCCGAAAACTTTTTTTAAATAACTTACACCTGAAAAAATAAAAAAAAAATAAAAATTTCAAAACAACTCTGAAAAATTTGGCTTTGAAACAAACAATAAAACAAAAAATAAAGTTTCAAAAAATTGATTTTAAAAAGTTAAAAGCAATCTAAAAAGTCAAGTTTAAAATTACATGAAGTTTCCATTTTAACTGTAAAACTTAAGACATACAGTCTTAGTCACGTCTCAAAGACCATAATCATGCAACATGTCTATTAGTGTGTACTAAGCTATACAGTATAATATGTAATAAAATATGATGGATAAAACCAAATGAACAAGTTGAATATATTAGATAGGCACTTAGAAAAAACTGAAAGAATTAAAAAGATTATCAGTACACTGGCCGAGTGGTTAGTGTGTCCGTCTACCACTCCCACGACCCGGGTTCAAATCCTGCAGTTTCTACAGGTTCATCCGGGTAGCCGACCCCGGCCAACCCAGCCGTCCATCTTTTCGAGGTCGGTAAATGGGTAGACGACGTAAGTTGCCGCATGTTGGCCGGCGAGATGGCTCAGTGGTTCAAATGCTCGCTGAGTCAAACATCTCAATGGCTATCACATACCCAGAGTATATGATGCGGTGCTTGCGCGTGTACATAAAATACATGTGTACGTCGTGTGAAAAAGACAAACAGCCTTTGTGGCAAAGATGGCTGCTTCAAATCAATGATTAAAGATATGAAGAACATAATAAAAGATATACAGATAATATATCTGTAACATTGTAAGTGGTTCTGCGCATGTAAGAGCTGCAATAATAAAGACCTAAAAAAAAATTTAGATTGCCAGCAACCATCTTAAACAAGATACCATATTTTAACTTAATAATAATCCTATCACACACACACACACACACACACACACACACACACACACACACACACACACACACACACACACACGTTTAGACGACATTTTCCCCGAGATCGGGGTTGCCGTTTGGCTACCTATGATGAAACCGAAATACCCCTTGATGCCATCCACATCAGTCACTCGCAACATCAGTCACTCGTATCACGCAACCCCGCTTTCACCCTGTCCTTCTCCACCTGCTCTCTCCATCCCAATCGCGGACGACCCCTTCCTACCACTCCTTCAACCTCGAACTCCAACGCTCGCCTAATCCCGACCCTTTCATCCCTTCTCAACACATGTCCATACCACCGCAATCTCGATCTCCTTATCAATGTCACAATGTCCTCATTCAGTCCCATCATTGACATCAGCTCTGTACTACTCCTCCTATGCTTCACTTTAACCCCACACATCATCCTCACCATAGCTCTTTCAGCCCTCTGCAGTACACTTTCCTCCTCTCTCCTCAACACCCAAGTTTCACCACCATATACCATCGCTGCTCTCACAGCGATGGTATATGGTGGTAATAATAATCCTATCATGATACATTTTCCGGATAATTCAAAACAAAAATTTCCAGTATTTTTAAAAACGTTTTTCCAAACGAAAAAAGATTTTTAATATAGGCAATTGAATTTAAAATCCTGTAAAACTTTTCAGTAACAAGTCAATGAAATAAAATGTAATTCATAAATATAAATATATAATACTGTAATATTATTATTGTACAATTTATATTATTTATATAACAATACAATATAATAATAATATCATTTTATATAGTGACATCGAAAGCGACTGAGGTGTATTATTATTACGACAAACACACAGTGCAAAATAGCCTAGTGGATCGATGCACCACACACTTTTTCATGTGATGAGCAGGGATCTCCTTACAATTGGACCCAGACACTGAATCAACAATGCCTGGCACCTTGATCATTACACCATTACGTCATAAATGAATCTATAAACAGAAAGAATTATAAAAAATAGATTTAAAAAAAGTAAAAACTGACCCATTTAATCACACTGTTTGCAAACCTCTCAGCAACATTGCCTTCATATTCTGAACTCTTGAAAAAGTTGTTGATGACATTTATAGTAATTTCAAATCAATCAAAAAATTAATAACTCTAGAGCGCACTAATGCATGTGGGGCAGCAAATATCAATGGTATATTGCCGTGCACAGCGCACTAATAAAAGTATTTAATAATTGTCAATAGCAGTGCATAACACACTAATGTAGTACACTATTAATAACCATCGACCATGGTGTATCAAACTGATGTGAGCACCAACCATTTACTATTTATTATTGAGTCATTAAAGTGTTGAAAATGATTGTTAACACAGAATTGTTAACAAGGTGTGTCCTATCGTATTTCTACTATTATATGTGTTAATGGGAGCAAGAGAAGCAGTGACATCATAGATGAGGATGAAATTCAGCAGGAAACAATTGCTTTCGGGTCGCATTGATATGCTATATGTTATGTATCATTTCAATTTATATTGTGTGTAATTCAACAGAGTGCACTATTAAAAGTGTTCATTAATAGTCAACCACTGTGCACAGTAAATTAATAAAAGTATTTATTGATTGTTAATCACAGTGCAAAGTGCATTAATAAGTTATTAATAGCCTATCCCCTGGCCTATGGTCATGGTGCACTGTTTTAATATTATTTTAAATTAAAATGTTATGCCTTTCTTAGTTTCTTTCTAATTAATTAATTTGTCTACTCTTTTAAAAATTTTAAGTAAAAATAAAATAAGCTATAAATGATATCAAAAAAATGTGTATGTTATATTCATTATTATTATTCAATTTATAATTTTATATACATCATATTCATATTGTATTGTAATTGTAGTTATAGTTATATTATAATAATAAAATATTTATTAATAATATCTAAATCTATTGTTATTTATCAGATGTCTTTGTCTTTTATCCTGTAGGTAGAAGAGGGCTATTTCTATTTGACAATCACAATCAAAATCAAATCAACAGATCATCAATAACATAATTTTTAAAAAGGCATTTTATTGATAAGAAAGAAAATGCAATTTTTGCGAAATTCGCATGAAAGAATATGCAGATGAAACTTTATTAACCCTAACTTCTCCGGCGTTATACACTCGGTACAGCTGAGGCCCACTGACCAACCTCCACAGCCAAGACATCTCTAGCACACAAAATAGAAAAGAAAATAAAATACAAACAAACAAACGATGTGAGACAAACTCGAATAATTTAAAAGTTAAATATTATACTTAAAATCCATATTCTATGTCTGTGCTACATAATTAGACCAGTTGCATAAACGTTTTCCTTTCATTTTAACAATATTCACATTGAACACTATGAAATTACACTATATAACATGAACCTAGTCCAGGAAGCATTTGCATTTTCATTATTGTTTGATATAACCACAATGTGTAGATCATGATATTCTACAGAAACGAATTCACTTGACCTTTAGTATACGTGAGTTGGTCATTCATGGTTCAATTCTTACCTGACGAAAAAATTGCAACAGGTTTTGTTTAACGATAAATTGTCAAAGGAAAGTTATTTCGTCTAGTGTTTTTGTTGTTGCTGCTGCCAAAAATCGGTTGATTGTTATGCGAAGATTGTTGTTGTAATTGAAACTTCTATTGGTTTTGTCCAAAGATGAATTGGTTGTAGTTTGGTGGGGCTGTTGGGATGGTTGAACAAATTTTGAACATTGTGAAGACTGTTGTTACATGCCGTGCAGATGTTTGAGATGTTTGGGTTGATTTTATTTTGGTAGTCGTTGAGGAAGTGACAATGGCCTGACCTTTATTATGCTAATAATCTTCTTGTCTTTCTGAGTAGTGTTTGTTCTATTAGATTGATAATAGACGTTTGTGTCTAGTTATATCATTCATTGAGTTAAATTGGAAATGTTTAGTCATTATTTGATGCTGCTTCTCTGACTGTGCTTGTGTGAAATTATTTAACTTCTTGGCGCGTGGTCTCGCCGGTGATTTGGGCATGTGTGAACGGTTGAATAGTGTTTTGATCTGGTGTACCAAGGGTCGGTCTTGAGACCAATACTGTTTTTTTATATGTCCAACGTACTAGAAATGATAGGTAAATCTGAAGTTTTTGGTTATGCTTTTGCTGATGACATTCATTTGATTGTCAGCTACCCAGAAAATAAATTTCAGGGTACTGGAGATAAATTGTTTCACCTCTGACGGAAGTAAGCGGGAGGGTGCTATCACATCGGCTCAAACTCAACCAATGTAAAGATAAACTGATGAAAGTTTGGAATAAGGCAGCAGTCGTTGAGAGTAAAAATGATTCGGTTCATGTTTCATTTCACTTATTCCAGCTAAAAGCAGGAAGGAAAACACAGAAGCTCAATGAGTATAGTCTTTCAAAACACAATATTATTGATAGTCAAAATAATGAATTTTGCAGTAACGCTTCTAAGGTTTGATAAAAAAAAATAAGAAGGCAGCTGATTGTCTATGGGGTTCAGTGTATCAAGAATTTTGGTATTTTATGCATGCGAAATCTGATGAACAATTTTATTTGCACGATTCTGAATGGACTGTAATATCTTACGTAATTTGTCTGGTAAACTATAATACACACAGCTAAATAGTATATTAATGAATAAATTTATCTACATATATGCACTGCTACAATAGCCAACCGAGAGTAATAAACGCGTGCATAATTCCTTTTATCGTACTTTTATTCGAGAAATTTCTAACCATTCGTATTTTAAGTAGTTGAGCAGCACACACTTAGTGGCTGATCTAGAGGGAGACCGGGAAGAGCATGGCCTTCTTTTGTGAGCAGTATTGTAACAAAAATCGGTAAAAATTAAAAAAAGGCCGTTTTATATAGAAAATAAACCAAAAACTGATGCGATAAATTTTAGGAAACACAAATCAGCATTATACTAGGAGGATCTCAGTCGACTCCGATTTGTAATTCCTGAAACTAATTGTAGTTTTTCTTTTGAATAATTTTGAACTTTGCCAGCAAGCCAATCTCTGACTAAAAGAGCTAATTTGATAACGATTCTTTCCGGCATATGGAGCCAGTGTAGATCATTCACTTCGGATAAGAAACAACAAGTCTCGTTGTGGTGTTTAAAACAGACTGCAAATCGCGAAGGGTAAGTTGACACCAAACATACTTGCGTTTTAGTAGTCAATTCATTAACAGATAAAACCATGGTTATAAATATATATATATATATATATATATATATATATATATGTTATATATATATATATATATATATATATATATATATATATATATATATATATATATATATATATATATATATATATATATATATATATATATATATATATATATATATATATGGATAAAACTACAAACGAGGGCTTTTGTTGGCTCAACTGTCAAATAACGTCTGACTGACCTTATTTTGCAAAGTTGACAGAAACATCGTTGACAGAGATAACTTATATGTTTATCGAATGGAAGATAAAGATTCAGTATTACACGAAAATTTCTTACTAGATTAAAACTAAGGCTACGTGACGTTCCCATCTACATATATTGAGTTGTTTGGCTTTGAGTTTAAGCTTGTTTGATGGCATTCACCTACCAACTAAGTCCACTGCATTCGACAAAGCTGGTAAAACTCGAAGAAATGAGTCGGGTAGTCCAAATTCGTTAAGTTGAATATCATCAACGTATAAGACAATTAACTCGACGACGGTGACAACATCTACATAATATTAGCTTTATTTTTAGTGTTCATGATTTCATTGATTAAAAATATTAAGTCAAAATTTTCAAAAATTGCTTTCATAACTTTTTTAACTTAAAAAATGACAAAATGTGAACTGATTGAATCATCCTAGCTGAGGATGAATTTTTATATTGAATGTCCGATATATTTAGTGACAAATGTGCAAAAATTTTTGATAAATTTAAAATATTTGTTTTTGGATACAACCGCGACGGAAGTGAATTTCTTTTTAATATTTATTTTATTATTCGTCTATTTATTTTTAAATATCAGTCGTTTCTTGAGTGTTTGTTTTATAAACAGTAGTTAGTATTTTTAATTTTTTTTTCTTATTAATTTGTACATTTAAAAACGATTTTTTCATTTTTCTTGAGCCACGCTCATCATAAATGCTAAACAGCTGAACCGGCTTGTGTCCGTCAAAAAAATCTTGCTTTTCTTGAGTTTTATTTAAAAATATTTTTTTGTGAAAGTTTTACGTAACTTCCGTACATGGTGCATGATTTAAAAACGTGTTTTTGACATTAGTTACATACGGCATGTACACGTTAATGCTGTGCTCAGTCCCAAACTAAACTGCATAGATAGCATAGCATGCTTGCTTCTGATTTGTTTTTCATTTTTTCATATCAATTATTTTATTTTTTTAAAATTATTTTTATTATCTATTCACAGGTTCGTGATGACGGTGCAACTCAATAAGACAAACCTTATTGTGAATTACTTGCCTCAAAATTTGTCTGATAAAGAATTTCATGATTTGTTTTCAAAGGCTGGAAATCTTACCGCAAGCAAAATAGTTAGGGATAAAGCTACTGGTTACAGTTATGGATTTGGGTTTGTTGATTATGAAACAGAACAGGATGCATCAAATGCAATTGATGTTCTAAATGGTTACCAAATTCAACATAAGCATATAAAAGTTTCGTATTCTCGAGTTGGGGAAAATGTAAAAGGAGCTAATTTGTATCTTAGAAACTTACCGAAAGATGTATCTGAGAGTGACATTGAAAGAGTGTTTGCTCCGTATGGATCAATAGTACAAATACGAGTTCTAGCAAATTCACAAGGAATACCAAAAGGCATCGGTTTTGTACTGTTCAGCTCAAGAGAACAGGCTGAAGCTGCCATGAAAGATTTAGATGGTAAACAACCAGTAGGATTCAGCCAGCCTCTCAATATAAAATTTGCAGAAGATAATAAATTTAAAATGAAAGCATCAACAGAGGCTGCAAGTATAATGAACAATAATGCTGTATTTAGTAACCTACACTTAACACAAGGCACAGTTCCTCAGGCATTTACTACGCCAGGATATGTTGATGCATTTAATTCCGTTGGGCCTGTTAGGAATCAAGTACGTATGAGTCGATTCAATCCTATTACTACAAGCAACCCAGCCACTCTAGCATACAACCAAAATGTTGTTCAAGGACTTTCTCAATCAATTATGAATTCACAAGGATTTGTTTTATTTGTTTATAACATTGGCACAGAAACTGATGAATTTTCACTCTGGCAGATGTTTTCGCCATATGGAGCAGTGAAGAAAGTCAGTGTCATCAAGGATAATCAAAAAAATCAAAGCAAAGGTTATGGATTCGTTACAATGGCAAGTTATGAAGAAGCTTTGTTCGCTATCCAGCAACTGAACGGTTATAACCACAATGGAAAAAATTTACAAGTCTCATTTAAACAATAAATTTTATTTATATAAATTTGGAGAAAGAGAAAAAGCCATTTAAGCTATAAGCAGTATCTAATTTTAAGAAGATAGTCTATAAACTAAACACAATTTAAATAATAAAGTGCATCTCAGGCTTAATTTTAAATATTTTGAAATTTTTTGTTCAGTTGTTTTGAAGTTTATTCACATTTTTTCAAATTTTGTTATAATTATGAATTTATATATAAAAAAATTAAGTTAATATTATGTTTAAGTTTAGTTTTCATTGGTGTCAGCAACTAGTTATTTCTTTTTCTCCAGACATTGTATTAATTAATAGTACTTGTTTGATGATCTACAGTTTATAACCTTTTATTTAAATGACAGTCTCCGGTACATTGCTTTGAATAACACTAATCCTAGTTTAGCTGTCAATTTTTGTGACTTAAAGTTTTTAATATTTATTAAAGATAAATATTAGTTCTTGATTTAATAATGGATCATGTATATAAATTTTTCTTAACTTTGATGGTTTCACATTCACACTCCGAGTGGGACATTCTTAATTAGATAAGTATGAACATGTTTTTTTTTCAGCATTTCATTCTATGTTAGATTAATTGATTTTTGTTTTTTATTTGAGATGTGTGTACATTTTATGAGAATTTTCTGTTGGTAATAATTATGGAGTGAACAACAGTCATCAATTTCTTCCTTCAGCTGAGTTTTTGTTTCTATAGAGATGACAATTTATTAATCGGTCACACATTTTCTGTTAATTTTAATGTTACAAGAAAAGTTATAAAAATACACATTTACAAAAATTATGTTAAATGTAATTATAGAATTGTGTGGCTGCAATTAACTGAATGTATTGCCATGTGTATGAATGTTTGTGTATGTGTTTGTGCTTATACTCGTACGTATATACGTGTGTTTATGTATATACGTCTGTGTGTGTGTGTGTGTGTGTGTGTATGCAGTCGCGGAAATATATGCCGAAAGGCAGTTACAAGCTTAAACAGTTGTTCAACGTTTCAATAGGGTATGATCTGTGTCCAGTTCCGTTGGTTTCTGCTAATACGAGCTGTCTTAAATTTAAATTAAAGTTAACCGTTGGTAAAAATGTTTAATATTTTATATATTTAAGCCAAATCACTTTAGCAATTTCAAAGGTGATGAGATGGAATGTGAGATTCGGTTCAATGTATTTGAAGAGTATTTATAAACATGCGGTTGCGTTATCGTTTTAAAAATTGGCGTCATCGTATCGTGCTGGTGCTATTTTTCATTTATCCCTCAACATGTAGTGGTTCATGTTTCTCTGCACTGCTCTTGTGATTTCCTTGAAAAAATAATCAAGATTAATGAGATAAACATACACAATGTGTAAATCGTTTAAAATTTATTTAATTTCAAGTAATTTTACTTTGGAGCCTGGGCATAAAGTGTGAAGCGACTTTATCAGTGGAAGCAGCAAAGTTTTTATAAATGCAATTTGAGATTTGCATTTTGATACTGTCTCTCTGTCCATGTATGGAGTAACTTGCAATCCCTTAAATTTTTCTACATCACTCTGTAGGTTGATAGTTTATAATTGAACATCGCTTCTGTGTCTATAAGAAAAATGATTGAACCTGGTGGAAATACTCTTGAAACAAACACTCCATCCATATGTTAGCACACTCGACAGGTCTCGCCTCATTTGAAATGTCTGCTATCTTTATCAGGATCATAGACAACTTTAGGTTAATAAAATTTAGCCATTTAAGCAAAACGAAAAATGTCATTAGTTCATATCAGTATAATATTAATAAGGCTTAATAAGTTTGGGTTAAACTAAAAATATATGCTATAATATTTAAGTTATTTGAGCCCAATATTTCCACTCCGGTTCATTTTTGAATATTTCCTATCCATTTTCTGGTAGATTTTTTTTTTTCTTAGACTGATTTCATTAATTGTGATTTCCTTGTGATTAATTGTGATTAATTGTGATTTCCTTGAAAAAATAATCAAGATTAATGAGATAAACATACACAATGTGTAAATCGTTTAAAATTTATTTAATTTCAAGTAATTTTACTTTGGAGCCTGGGCATAAAGTGTGAAGCGACTTTATCAGTGGAAGCAGCAAAGTTTTTATAAATGCAATTTGAGATTTGCATTTTGATACTGTCTCTCTGTCCATGTATGGAGTAATTTGCAATCCCTATGTTCAAAAATGCCGATTTTAGTACTTTGACATTTCGTGTAAACTTTATTGTTTTCAAAACTGGTTTCTTATGATTTCTTTTCTACCCTATCTCGAGCTGCTTCACAACAAAGTATTCCGTTTAAAAAGCTTCCAGGCATCTTATTCTCTTCTTCATTGTCCGGGTTTCGCACGCATACCAATGCCATGCATATAGGCTTACTCTTCATGTATATGTTCCATACAGTCAAGACAGTCAACATAATATAGCACGTGTGGGCAATTAGGAAATTAATGCTCTACCCGTAACTAACATTTTTGGTAATATAATCCGTGACAAGGATTAACTTGCACAATTTTTCTAACTATTTTCTGTTTTTTCGTGTTTCCAGATATTTTATACTTTTTTATGAGCAACTGGTCCTGCTATTTTCATCAATTCCATCTTTCCTAAGCTTTCTTGTTTTTTCAGTCTTTTTTTATTTTTCATGGTTAAGAGAGTTTCTTCTTTATTGACTGTTTCCCATACATTTTAAACTCCAAACTTTTCATTTTTACATTTGCTTTCGTCTGTAAGCAAATCTTTAATATATTTTTGCGCACAAAAAATTTATCTAATAATCAACTGGTATTATAAGAAGTTGACAGATTTTAATTTTTAAACACAACAACGCTTTATGTAGAATATGTATCTTAAAAAAGTTGTGCGATCTCTACACAAATCCGGATATCTGGCCGGAACAATAAATCAGCAAGAGCGAAATTACAAAAATGTGTATCATGCGCCAACATCGGAGTTCAATTATCAAAACCTTTTAAAATGATATTATGAAATAATCCGTTGGCAACATATTGCCTTTTCTCGACGTACTCATTCAAAAATGGAATAATACGCTGAAAACGACTGTGTAGGTTCACAAAAGCAACAAATAAAGGACTGTGCTCAAATGAAAAAAAAGAAAGTTGCGAAGCATCCTTGAATAGAACCATGACATCCATCGTCAACCGAGCATTCCCATGCTCTACTGATCAAAACGCTATCACGGCAAAAGGGCGCAGCAAAAAAGGGCGCAAGACAAAAAGGGCACAAGGCAAAAAGGGCGCAAGTCATAAGGGCGCAATTTCTGAAGTTTACATGATACTTTTACTCACATATTGTCTACGTTTATTTATATACAGTTTAGCTATTTTCATTGCGTTTAAAAGTTATAATTGCTATATTCGAAAGCTTTTGGATTTGTTTCTGTGTAATTCAATTTGAATAGTAGGTAAAGTTAATTCATTTATATTATTTTATACATAACAAATTATTAATAATTAATTATTTGATTGAAGTGATATCAATAAAATTAATGAATTTGTAACTGATTTTATGAGTTACTTTAATAGTGTTATTTTAAATGATGTAAAAGTGAATTTAGAATGGATATTCAATTGTGATTTTAAATGCAGGGTTACATTGGCACTGCATGCTTTCAAACCCGGTGACACGAGATTATCGTACAGGCGTGCTACCGAAAACTTTAGGAGCGCATCCCACGAACAATCCGTGAAATGACATAGAATGCATTCGAATCCTATAACGCAATGTAATTCTAGACACAGTCTACCACAACGCCATTGACGCCGGTAACGCAATTCTATGAAATTTTGATTTTTATCATTTAAGAAATTATTTTCAATTTTAATATGCTGAGAAATGTTGCAATAAATTACCTTTACTCAAGTATAAATTATTAATCATTAACATTAAATATTATAACTATTTTTACTTTCAATCTTACTTTCATAGCGCCCTTATTACTCGTGCCTTTATAGCTCGCGCCCTTTTTGTCTTGCGCCCTTTTTGCTTTGCGCCCTTTTTGCAGCGCTCTTTTATGTCTGCACCTTTTTTACTGTGCCCTTTTGTTGGTGAGCCATCAAACCGAAACAAAATTGGGATGGAACTATAATACAAAGAATCATTAATCTGTTAATTAACAACACTTACAAAAGTCAACGATAAACAGAATCATGCAATCAAAAAAAACAACAAAACAATGACAATAACAATAACAGATTTGACAACATTCATAAAACACTTTATTAAAAAATTCAAATGTCAACAGAGTATATTGGAATGACTACCACAGCTGACGATGTACGCGCCGTCAGGTGCTAAAAAAATCATTTGAAGGCTAAAAATGACACTCCAATCGCAAGACAAATTTTGAATATTAATATGAACACTCTGTACCACAAAAACAACAATACCAACTAAAAATAGCGAAATCTTTGTTTACTGAACAGATCTCCTGTTACCAATATCCAGCATAAGTGTATTGTCGGATTGCAAATCCTAACGATTAAATCCAACAATCCTCAATAATAAATGAAAACACAACGAGCTAACGAAGTGATTTATGCGGACTATATAAGAAGAAACTGCGATACGATTCTGATAGGTATTCGGGCTGCTGATGAATCTCCGGTAGAGACGAGACACGTGTCCAGCCTATCCAAGCTCTTCCTGGTTTGGTGTTCTCTTACACTAGCGCAACCGCAACAGTTTTACCAACCAATCGAACAAGGAATCGAAAAAGCAACCCCGAATAACAAGGAAGCCGCAAAACAATCAAAGAATTTTCAAAGGAAGAAAACAATATAGCATTAATAGGATTCAAAAAATTTTAAATGTGCAAACATACTTATATCTAGAATTAGTACACTAGAGGAGATTCTTTGCATTCAAATACTGTCATTGCAATACTAGTTGCTGAAACCAATGAGAACTAACATTAAAATATCTCGCCACCCTGAATACAATTGTTTGTATATTTGTGTATTTATTTCTTTACTGAATACAAACCAAGAGTTTGTGGTTGTTGTTTTTGAAATCAAAGAGTGGCAAAACGGCAATGAATTCATCGAGTATGGCGTCGTGCTTTGCCAGATCGGTGGCCAATATGCACCTTGATAGTTTACAAATTTTTAATTAAAGTTGTAAGACTTTTAACATTAAATTCATTTTACTATAATTAAACGTGCAACATTTTACAGGATTTATGGCTTAGAAGCTGCTTGAAAAAGTTTGGCATGTGTTTATTGCTAAAAATAGAAAATATTTCTTGCAAAAATGATTTTGAGTAGTTTTACGCAAATTGAGCAGAATTGTGCAGTAGTCTTAAAAATATTGTAGGTACATACTACAGTTAGACTGTTGGTGATAGAAGACTTCTAAAGTGTGATGCCATTAATAGCAAGAAAAGTTTCATTTATTTCTTAATTTAAATAATTTAATTATTTAAGATAAATTTTAATAATAAAAAAATTAAGCCAACCGAATAACTCCTCTCCTAAACGTTAAGTAATCACTTGGTTCCATGTTTTTTAAAATGTTACAATCTTCATCTTGAAGGATGTGGAAGGCGGTGGCACTGTGGTGGTTCTCGAGGGGTGAGGCATCGTTGTATCTGAGGGCCAGTTCAGTTTGCGCGTTGATCTTCAGTGAATTTTCGTTCACCATTTAAATTTATTAGGTCGTTATTAAAATACATTTATTAGCATATCATTCAATATAATGTTAACTATTTTGCATTCCGTATATAGGTTTATAGATTTAGCAAAATAATTTTTTAATTCAGCAATTTCTAAATACTTTTAAGTACATGTAAGAAAAGTGTAAATTTGGGTTCAAAATGAACCCAAATTTATGCTAAAATTATTTTATTGATATTTTTAGCTAAAATTCACCAACATGAAAGGTGTTGTTGAATCCAGTGTGATCTAAATCATGACAGGCCCCGGAGAAGAGGAGGATGAAGATATCTAATGGTGCAAGCTTGGCCGACAAATCTAGCGTTTTTAACATGGCATAGATCTAACAAATGTTAAATGTTTTGATAAATATTTAAAAAAATTTTAGAATGCGTGTTTATCATTAATATAAATTAAGAAAAATTATTAATATTAATATTGTTGTTATTATTATTATTGATATTTAAAATGGCGATGTGTAAGAGTTCATGCATTCTACGTTATTAAATTTGAATAGAATGAATGATCGGTGATGATGACAAGTACAAATGCTATGTAACTAGCAAAATGTATCGTACCATTTGTGTAACACAGAAGGAATGTTTGAAGTTGTGGAATGGGGCATCGTTGTAGCTCAAAAAAATCCTTCTCATCCAACGTTGCATTGTTTCTTGCTGCAGCAGACGTTTGAGGTATATCAAAATGTAAATCATGCCGCAAATAATTGCTTTATAAATTTTAACGAAATTTCATTTCAACGAAACGGTACATCACGAAAATATAATCAATAATCTTAAATATAAAAAGTCCTTTCTTATCAAACGAATTACATTAGTAAATGTAAGCGCCGTCAAAAATTTGCTGTTTCGATCATGTTTAAGAACTTAAAAATTGAAATAAAGAACCTCATTTTTTATCACCTCTTAATCATCTACAATAACCAAACAGCGAAATGTTAATGCTTCTTTATATCCTTTCATTTTTTCAAGTAGTCGATCTCGATACCATAATTAAGTTATTTTAAGCACCGCCATCCCGTGGCAGGTTCAATTTACATTCAACAACCCAGTTAAAATGTTTTTGATTGAAGGGTCTAACAAAGCAAGAATATGACTTTTCGGTCACCATCAACCATTTTGTGTCTTCCTGCTTTTTTGCCCTCCCCCCCCTCTCTCTCTCTCCTCACTCTCTTTCTTTATTTCCAAAACTGATAGTTATTAACCTTCATTATATTGATTTCTTAATGTTTCTTCAAGTTTCTTAATGTTAAGATGTCGGAATCTTTTTGTTTGGTTATTGCTTGACCTTATTAAAAATAGTACAATTGTGTAATTCTATCAGCGTATCAGTACGTACAAAAAACTATCAATATTTAAAAAGAATTATATCGAGAAGTTAAATATTTAAGCGCCTACTTTTTGCAAACGGCAATTGTTCATTTAATAAATCATTTACAAAGATTCCAAAATGTTAACAGCAACAACCGACCACCTCAATGTTGTAGATTTTGTTGATGTTAAAGTCTGAGATGATGTGCTGCATGAAGACCATTAGTTGCGCCTCACTGTGGCTCCAGTTGTTGAAGTCAATGTTTCTCAAACGCTGCAACAATGCGCTCTCAACTGGCCTGTCCCTGCCATTTTGTAGGAAGCACGTTCATTAATTATTTAATTAATTAACTGTTTAATTAAAATATTGTCGATTAATTAAAATTATTTGATCGGGATTGCATTATGAATGAAGGACAACTTGGAAGGTCTCAAGAGACCCGTCAATACATACATTCATTATTCTTATAATCTTTTTAAGCCTTTGATAGTAAATTAAGTAAAAAATATTTTATAAATGTTGGCATTTTTATTATTTGCCTCAATATTTCAAATAAAATAAATTTAAGTGAATTTCTATATTGACTGACTTGATGTTGTCGTATTCGGCAAGAACTTGACATTTGTTGAAAATTACTGAAGTTGATGAGGACAAGGATGATGAGTTGAGTGAGGGGGGTGCTGGAGGGTCTCCGTGGTTGTTCACGTGACCAGCCAACCCGATCTCAATCTTTTCCTTTAAAATAAATTTTCGTTTGCGTTTTGGGCGATAACATAGAAGGCATTGCGTGAAAAAGTTTAATACGTTACTTGGAGAAGGTCTTCAGCCGACGATATCCTACCATTATCAGAGCTGAGTTGGCCGCAAGAGTACGGCGTGTTGCTGCGTGAATAATTCGTTTTTGTTAGCCTTATTGTTATTTTATTAGTAGTATCTTTATCATCGTCACTATGAAATGTAATGCAATCTCTCTAACAAATTAAGAAATGCTCCCATGAAACAGCAGTCAGATGAACAACGAGACCATGTAACAATATGAAATTCATGCATAATTTCAAATTTGCAGCTTCATATCAAAGTCATCACAAAATCTGTCCCACTTATATTACTGATATGAAAATTTTATTCAAATCTTATTCGTTCTTATTAGCTTTCGATATTAATATAAATAAGAACAGACGAAGTTATAAAATTAGTTATAAAATACAACCAATGAAGAAGAAGAAAAAGATGATTAAACGATTATAAAGATGATGATAGTGATGTGGTGATGAAGAGGAGATGATGATGAAGATGATGATGATAGTGAAGGTGGTGATGAAGATGAGATGATGATGATGAAGAAGATGATGGTGAAGAAAATTATGATGATAGTGAGGGTGGTGACGAAGATGATGGTGACAAAGATGGATGAAAATGATAACGATGACGAAAATGATGATAATGATAGCACGTAAAACGTCTGCAACATTTCATTATTTAATGAGCTATGCCGTCTAGAAATAGAAGCGTTTGTGTGAGTGAGTGTAGGCAAGGCAGGCAGCACGAACTCGCGGGAGAGCTCATTTACTATGCAAGTTAATTTACTTTTAACTCATTAATGCATAATTAACTGCTGTTCTCGTTCATCTAATTACGCTTGAAAATTAAAAATTTTAATACATAACTAATATCGGCATTCTATGGTAGTACATTCAAATGACAGGCAATCTTTCTTAAATGTTACAATTGCGAAATGCTTAACAATGTAATCATAAGACAGAAATCAAAGTTTAGCTGCATGGCGCTGACTTTTGTTATGTATTTATACGATTTAGAACGCTACAAAGCCTCGCATTGTTTTCAGCTGCAAAGATAAAATGTTTGAACAATTAAAAGAGATCATGCGTGTGACGATACAGGTGTGTCACGCATTTTATTGCTGATCCAGTAATTCATACGTTAACTTACTTGAATTTGTTTACATTGTTGTAGGAGCTGTTTACAAGACCGTCAATATCGTCAGAATCTGGAAAAAGCAAGATAATTTAACGTGTTATTTGAAATTATTTCATCACACATATGACTTAGATTCAATGGTTATAATGGTTGTCAAAGATAAGATATAGAGTGTGGTTGTTATTCATTTGTTTGTGGCTTGAAAATAATATGAAATCAATTTTTAGGTGAGGGCATATGCGTGCACCAAAAAAAGATTTCTATTTCACGATTTACTACTACGTCGTCAGGCTTTTTAAATTCTTGCGTATTGCATGTTTCTTAACTTTCTCCTTGTAAAGTTTATAACAAATATTCAATAATAATATATACAATTTTAACCATAATCGATGTTAATCATTTTAAACCGGAGTAGGAAAGTATAATGAAATAATCGGAGACGTTAAAAAAAAACAAAATCTGTCTTACGTCAAGTTTTTAACCAGCAATATTTCGAAAATGCAATAATTCGCTTTTGATGAAATTAATTTTGTTGTCACTGTTTCACTAAACTTGCAGAGTAGGACTATGCTAGTGCCTGCGTTTGTGTTTGTCACTGAAACATTACTTGAATATGCCCTGCAAGCTTAACTTCGATTTTTTTCTTAAATAAAATGGCCTATTGTTAGTCAACACGAAATAAACCTTTTGGCAAATCGAAGATTGTTTCAAGAGATTTCCATTGTTTGGAATAAATTGCCCGTTCATCTAGTCGTCGGAATTTAACGTTGAATGACTTCAATTGAAAACTTAAAACTTATTTGTTTCAGTTATAATGGTTCTAACACCAATAACTAAGAACACATCTGTCTCAGATTCGGGAACATTAACAATTTGCATTTTGATTTCGTCTTTGTTTTATTTTGCAAGTTTTGCATAATTTTGTTTTGCATTTTTCTTTGTTGAGATTGTTTGTGAGAGCATTTTTAAACGAGCGCTTTAAAAACAATCTTTATAATAATAATAATTATTATTATTATTATTATTATTATTATTATTGAAACACGAGAGTTGGCCGATTTCGTACAGATTACAGTTTTATGCATAATTACGTTTTTATTAGTTGATTAATTGGTTTTAAAAATGTTGTACTGTGTTGATAAAATTGTGTGGAATATGGCGGTGGTTTTAAAATTTAATTTTAATAAAGTCTACTATTTTATTTTAATTATTTTAATAAATTTAATTTACGAAATTAATGCAAGTAAATGCCCGTATTGCGATAAGGATTTTATTCAAGTAAAAAGACACACCTGGCGTTGTGCAAAAAATACCAACTCTAATAACAACATTGTAAGTTCTGCTGAAAAATCCAACGTTGAAGTTTCTCCTAATATTTATAATGCCCATTCTATAGATAACAGTTCAATTAATTTGGAAAAAAAATATTATTTGCTGCTGCGGTAAAAGCTGCAAAGGTAGAAAAGGCCTTATTATGCACCAACGTTCATGTAAAATGCATAATCAACTTAAATTAGCAGACAACCCTGCAAGCGACGTAGATGCAACCTCATCAACCTCGGAGCAACAACCATCAGAACCATCAAATAATTCGACATCTACTTCGTCACCCTCACCAACAGAATCAATAGAATCAACTCTACCAGGCGTCAAACTACCAAAAACTTCAACACAATGGTCAGAAGCAAATGCCTACTTCCAACTGCAACAACATACACTGCCAAACTACCACGACATTGACGCATTTGCATATACATTTCAAAAAATGATTTACGACTACTTTGCCTTAAATTATGGCACCATCAAACCTCAAACGATCAACAACAACAACAAAAGTTCCAACAAATCTATTAAAGAATTAAAAAATAAATTGAAGCAACTAAAATTATTGGGCCGCAACAACCAGGGCTTTGACAATCTTATCAGATCAACAAGTAAAGAACTGCGAGCCAAACTGTTATCAACAAAAACATCAAAATCTGGTAAGTCATGTGGTAACATCACGTCTCAACTGAAACGACGATTCTGGTGGACATGCAGAAGAATATTTGCCCAGACAGAAAATTTGAAACCGTTGTTCAACGTCAGTGATTGCACACATTATTTCAAACAAATACTATCAGATGATAACCAGAAAAAATGCCAACTACCAAACTGGACTCAACAGCTACAAAAACCATCAACACCCTGCAACACAAGCCCTCCATCATACCACGAAATATCTACAATAGTTCGCAAGTTCAAAGCTAAATCATCACCTTGTCCACTCGATCAAATCTCGATAATTTCATTTTAAAAAATGCCCTATATTACGCACTATTCTACACAAACTATTAATACAATGCTGGTTGTCAGGCAAAATCCCAATTTGTTGGAAAAAGGGCTTCACGATCCTCATCAACAAAAAGGGAGATGCTCACAATCCTTCCAGCTTCAGACCAATAACCTTGCAACCAACACTCTACAAAATATTTATCTTTGATAAATAATAGAATTTACAAATTTTTAGAAATCAACAATTTCATAAATAAAAACATCCAAAAGGGCTTCTACCCTAAAATAGATAGTGTTACGGAACATAATCAGCTTTTAACTCACCTACTCTACGATGCAAAGAAACATCAAAGAACCACTATCGTCGCACTTCTCGATCTTCGCAACGCATTCGGTGAAATCAGCCATAAACTCATATCATCAACTCTGGATTTTCATCACATCCCCTCTCAAATTATCAAACTAATTGAACATATATATACCGACTACTCAATCACAGTTTCCAACCCCCTGATGAAAGTCATAGAACAAACAGAGTACCAACAATGCGGGTACATATGGGGTCCGTCAGCCAGCTTAAAGACAAGAGCGTGACTTCAGTTCGCAGACGACACGGCCATTATCGCCAACAGCACCGAAAGTGCTCAAAAACTCATAGATGTAAATCACGCTTGGTGCAAAGCAACTGGAATGAGTTTGAGAACTGACAAGTGTTTCTCGTTCGGTATGCGAAAACGCAGCGGGGTTTACGAACAATTCCTTCCGGCGCTATCGATTGACATCAAACAAATCCCCCATGTTGACATCGGAGGTTATTTCGAATATCTGGGGAAAAAATATGATTTCGAAGGCAACAACACGAACGCCAAAAACCAGATGATCATCAAACTCAAAACATTACTATCAACCGTCAGTGAACTGGATACAACAGTTCAGTGGAAGCTTGAAATCCTTAGAAAATATCTCCCATCTCAATTTGCGTTTGAATTTCGCATGTACAACATTTCACTGACTTGGATTAGTATGCATCTGGACACCCTAATCACCGAAACAGTAAGATCATGGCTGTCATTGCCCATTAGTAGCTGTCTGTCGGAGACATTGTCGCTCTCATATAAACTAGGCGGTCTAAACGTTAGATCTCTCAAAAATTTTGCCGAATCTTTGAGATTAAAACTCCGTAGCTACCTGAAATCAAACGGCAACGAAGAACTTAAATGTTTATGGAGCGAGTCCTATAGCAATTATATAAAAATCGACAATTTGCTTCCTGACTCAAAGGACATAAAACCGGCACTCAGCATGTTAACGATCAAACAACAAAATGCAGAACTCGAACATCTATCGCTACTCCGTTGCCAAGGGACAATTTTAAAAGTGATCAAAGACCAGATTCCCGCAGCTAGAATTGCTCACTGGTCGAAATTCACTGCAAACCTCCCAGAAATACTGTTCAAATTTGTTAGGAGAAGTCTCATCCAACAACTCCCCACAAATGCAAATTTGTTCAGATGGGGCAAATCATCAACGGCTGACTGTCTATTGTGTAAAGCGCGGCAAACAAACAAACATGTTCTGTCTAATTGCAATTCGGTGGCAGCACTGAAAAGATTCACAATGCGTCACAACAAAATTTTAAACATAATTATAGAAAGGTTGAAAGCATGCGCGGGTCCAGAGGTTTCGATATATGCAGATCTGGACTATGATGGGATCCCTCCAGTGTCTTGTCTCTTCAAATCCCTACGTCCTGACATCGCAATACTTCGTGACGACACAATAGAAACATTAGAGCTGACGGTCTGCCATGAATCCAACCTACTCAACTCAAAAAAATATAAAACCATCAAATACTCAGAAAATTTCAAAAATAATTTGCATGACAATTCAATACACCTGAAAATAATAGTTAATACTTTTGAAATTTCAACATTGGGCTTTTGCAATTTTTTAAATTTATCATTAATCAATAACATTTGGTCAGATCAATTTTATAATAACCTTATTAACTCTGTAATACCGTCATCTTATGCCATCTACTGTGAACGCAATAACAATTGAACTGTTCGTTTAAAACTAATCATATCTCGTTTTACTCGTTTATTTTAAATGATGAGCATCGTAGAATACTATTGTATTTAATTTAATTTAAATCAATTTATCTATTTTATTTTATTTTATTTTATTAGATTTTAATTAGACTTTTATCTCATTTTACTATATTTCATATTTTTCTAGAAATAAAAGAGAGTTCACATTATTATTATTATTATTATTAGTAGTAGTAGTAGTAGTAGTAGTATCTACTTACGCAATATATTGTGACAGAAATAAAGCTTGACTCTAGTTTTTATATTATTTTATCATCTTTGTACACATTCATAATGACGAGCATTGATGTTAAATTATCCCTTATTTTAATCTTAACTATTATAATAATTGATCATTTTATATTTAATTGTAATTCCTTTTTTTTTTTACTTATATTTTGGCTTATGAAGAAATAAAAGAGTTCTCATTATTATTATTATTATTATTATTATTATTATTATTATTATTATTATTATTATTATTATTATTATTATTATTATTATTATGGGTGTTTGTTTGGCGTTTTTCAAATCTTTTCAAAAATGCCATTAACTAAAATCATAAATTGTCAAGAAAAAATAAATAAGCTTTCAATTCTTTTCGAAACATTACAAGGGTGAGACCCGGATCACGTAAGTGTTGTGGCAGACTATTCCAAATCATCGATCCAACAATAGCTAAATTTGTTGATCCTATTTTTAATTTAGGTAAAGGAACTTTTAATAGATCTGAACCATCTGAGCGCAATTGAAGTCGATGCATTGGAATATCCCTCTGAACAATTTTATCATGAAAGTATTTGGGGGTCAGGCCATTCTCGCTTTTATAAACTACAACAGCAATTCTGAATACAACTCTTAACTTTCTTTTCCAAAGCAATTCACGCAAAATTGGAACAACATGTTCAAACTTTGATGCACCCATTAGAATCTTTGCAGCCCGATTCTGTATTGACTACAGCTGACTAGTCACTTTATTTGCAGTGCCACACAACAAAATTCAACTTTGAATGTACGAACGCATGTACTAGACTTTGTAAGATGTCCATATTTAATGATCTCCGAACAAATCTCAATCCACACATATGATGATAGCATTCACTTGCAAGTGATCTAACGTATTTTTGCATCAGTAAACTACGGTCCAAAATCAATCCCAGATTGCGCACAGATGCACAAAAGTCAATTAGATTACCTTGGATTACCATCAATATTAGCCGATTCAATATGTAATTTCGATAACTGCTGCCATGTGCCAACTTTCATAAGCTGCGTTTTACAATTATTTAATTTAAGGCGATAGCTACTTTTTCATCAAATGATCCATTCACCAAGGCATAATACAAATTTATCAATCAAAACTGGAAACGATGAAGCAGGACCAGTGACAATAATCTGAATGTCATCTGCATAACCGTAGTATTTAAAATCATCGTTTTGATCGTCAAAATAATTAATGTAAATAAAAACAATAAAAAATAACCAACATCAAACATATACACGAACGAACGAACGAACGAACGAACAAAAAACGCAGTGTCATGAATTTCAAGTATGAAGCAATAAATACCCAACTAACTGTATTTATGAATTTTAGCAACTTCTAGCCTGTATCTTGTTGATGGCGTGTTGGCAGGTAGGTTTGTTAGCGTTTGGACCGCTAGCCCCTGGTGGTTGTAAATTTTTAAAAGTTCCGACGAGCATGTCTCACCAACTGCCCTGAAAAGTCCTACAGAAAAAAATGTTCAATTCATTCATTCAGAAGTATAAAATCAATTGGAGGTTTGAATACTATTAGAACTATTTAACAGGCTTCTCTTTCAGTTCAATCTGATCACTGCTTCATGCAAATAAATTTAAAAACTATTATGAATAGGATGCTAATAATAGTTTAACTCTTTCAGAGTGTCGAAGTCAATTTTTGCCGAATCTGAATTTTTTGAATAATGTTCGAAACATAAACGAATTAAAATCGAAACCCACACAATTAATACCAATGAAATTGCCAGCTGCAAGCAATCAATTGAGGAACAATTATTAAGTTGAACATTAGAAGAACAACAGAAGAAATGACTGTCAAAAAACTGAAAACGTTAAAAATCAAAATTAATGTAAAATCAATTACACTTTTAAAATTAAAAATATTTAATAAAATGAACATTAAAATCAATAAAAAAGAATATGAGTGTACATTTTAAGAATGTTTATTTAAAGGCAAAAACTTAAAAATCATAATGATACAAAGCTACAAGTGTTCGCTCAACAAGCAGTTATTTTAAAAATAATCACAGTTATGTTCAAAAAATTTGAACATTTGAAAATGCGAAAATTAACTGAATAATTTAGTTTTGGCTTTCTGACCTAACTTTGTGTAATTATCAAGTTGATTTTTCAACATATTTCTAGCATTTGTTCTTAAATGATTATTTAATTTGTTTACTTCTTTTCATTTAGAAATCTGGACTTATTTTTCCGCAAATAACCGATGTTTCTTTATATTAAGTTTCTATCGTTAAAATGTTTTTCAATTATTTATTTCTAAACAACAAAATAGTTGTTCATATGTTTGATATGTTAATATTTTTCAAGAGGACGCTGAATAATTGGGTAGTAGATTCCTGTTGTGGATTTAGAGCAACCGGGAATCAGTGTTTTTTTTTTAGAAAACTCAATTTTTACACAAAATAACACCGTTTAAAGTACAAAAATTGGCCTGATAAGAAAAAAAATAGTCAGCCTGATTTTGGCCATATTAGCGAAAATTTTGTTAACCCGTCAAATTTCAACCTTTTAAAAATTTTCGCCCCCCCCCGTCAACGTTGTGTAGATCTGCCCTGATAAATTCCAAAAATATCGCATGCATCTAAAATATGTCTGACCAAAAAATGTTCAGATAAAAAACACAAACGAAGATAAGTTGTTGTAGATGGTA